GTCATTTAGATGTTGTGTTGGAATGTGATCAATGTATAAACTGATAACAGAGATAAAACACGTGCCAAAAGTGTTCACAGAAATTAACCATGTGAACAGGCATTATGATGTATACGGGCATCAGGTGAACGGACAGCTGTAGAGGAAAGTGATTCTGGAAAACTATTAAATAATATCGCAACCTTTAAAAAAGATAAGCCCAAGAATGAAAAGCAACTTGCTTTCATACATTTATTCATAAATAATGTAAATGTTTGTATTCAGTAACTTGTTCGCTGTTCATAGTATAAAAAATAATATTCTTTATTAAATTATATGAATTTTGTTTAATAGCTTAATTATTGTTTTTATGTTGTTTTATATATTGTTCACATGTCTTATTACAAAATGAGAACACATCTACATCTCCTTGTACTCATTTGTACTTACTTGTGACGTGTTCGTATCTATTTTTGTCATACAAAGTACACGCAGGCCTAAATTTTTACCAGAAATATATTCAAAAATATACAAATATATATTTAGAAAAACTTTAATGCACTTACTTACAACGAGTAGCCTACCAACTACGAGTAGGCCTATTGAACACCTTATGAAAGGAATTTTTTTTAAATAAACATGGGGGGTGCCTTTGCACCCCATATTTAAGGTCCTAAATCGATATACACACAAGAAGTAAATTCCATATCTGTAAGGGCTCTGAATACGATAGAAGGCTACAGTTAAACTTCGCAAACATATACAGATCAAGACCTTGCGATATTTATTTTTGATCTCCATTCTGCAGCAAACTATTGAATTTCCATTATCGTTCCATATGCTGGGGAAATAATGTGGAAAAGAGCTCTGAAACTTAGTTGTGTAGAGCGCTATTTAAAAACGTAGATGTTATAACAAATATTAATTATATATAAGCAGCAAACTTGATTTGAATATGATTTACCAGCTGGTACCTATAAGACGTAGCTTAAAACTAATCGATCCACTATGTGTGAGCCCTCAAGTTGTATGAAGGGAAACAGACTAGAGGTGTTAGGACCATACAAATATCGTACTGGCCTCTGTGGTCTAAAGGGTATGACGCTCGCCAAGATAGCAAGAGGTTGTGGGTTTGATTCCCAACAGGAACCTTTTTTTCATATAAAAGAAACTTTCGTTGATGAACTAAGTTTGATACGATTTACATCATGTTCCTATATATTTGAGCACTTTATTATTATCTATTTTTAATATATACATTAGGCCTGCTTGTGTCTCCAGTGCTAAGCATCAAGGACTAGTGCTGTCCAACTACACATGCGTACGAGTATGAAAAATTAGATGCTTTAATCGGATTTGATTACCAATAAAGCCTCAAATGTCCAGTTGGTTAAGACGTCTGCAGAAACAGCAGAAGGTCCCGGTTCGAATCCTGGTTGGGACACCTATTTATTCACACTCACAGATTCCTATATTTTAACGTTCAAATTCATTAATATATAGGGCCTATTTACAGCATTACCGCAAGACGGTTTAGAGTTTATCGCTATTATATTAGGCCTATTGTTTTTTTTAAGTATCTCTTCGGATGTCCTGTCTTGTTGTGGTGTAGCGCAGGTGGTATTCAAGTATCATTCTAATACCTTCAACATTTAAAAAATATGTTTTTATGATCTCTCCAATTCGACAAACTAACAAAAACCAGTTGGCCGCCCATAGTAAGAGCATTAATCTGATACCTAAAAGGTATCTTCACAATATTAAACGACTCTTTCCAGCTACATGGACCTCACAAAGTAGTTTTAGACAAAATGGAGTATCTACTAGTACTAAGATTAAGGACTATAACATTGAGTACTTGGACGTGGACGTAGCGTAAGTTTTTACTAATCATTACCTCGTTCTGTAAAAGAATACATTCTGAGGTCCACGTACCGGAGAAAATATGTTTATTAATGTGAAGATGGGTTTTTAGGTATTAGATGCGTCACACCTAATACATTTTCTATGGAAAGCCAACTAGGTCACCTATAATGTAAAATCTGCGTGATAATACGAAATGTCGCTGTTTTCGTTATGCTGTCGAAATGGGATATTATGTGATATATATACATATATATATATATATATATATATATATATATATACAAAATATGGTTGTCAATTGTGAAACAGTGCTCAATCCCACTGAAAAATCTATCTCTTATACACATCTAGATGTGTATAAGAGACAGATTATGCACTTGTCAATTGTAGTCCAAACTTCCATGGAAACTGCTAAGTGATACGCACGCTAGAGATCTAAATCGTCTTGCGGTAATGCTCAATATATATATAAATAAATTTTAAACGTTAAAGAAGAGTAGTATAGTTGTATAATAATCCCAGAAACAGACAAAACCATGCAGATTAATAAACATAGCGTAATCGTATCATTCACCTGAAATTTTGTCATGCAGGCCTGTTGTTATCTGAAATATTTCCGTATCACAAAAATTATCATTATAAAAATGGTTGAAATGTGATAGGCCTAAATAGTATATATGTTTCAGAAAATGCGAGAGCAAAAGAGACAAAACACACAAACAGAAAAATACAAGCAGACATGAAGCAATCGTGTTGTAATATTCCAATCTTGTTGGTAGTCTTTTCAATTACGTTGATTGCTAGTTCATCATATCGTATTCAAACCTAAAGCGGGCGCACTTCCACTGCAAATACATACATTAATCGTCTCTTCCAGCTCTCTCCACAACGGCAACCAGAAAACAATTTAGCGTAAAGTAAAAAGATTCCTATTTCAATATTTGAAAACTAAATCTCGAACCTCGCAATGCAGTGGTTGGATGAATTCTTATAGGACGACCATAATGCCTATACACACCGTAATTAAATGTAGGAAAATACTGTACATATACATATTTAGATATTAATATGCAATTTTGGTATGTTGTTAATAGAAGTTAGTTATTGTAATAATAATAATACAGTAATAGTTTAAAAAAAGCATAAATTTGTAACAATTAAAAGCAAAAACAATTCTAACAATTTTATAAAAATATATATTTTATTTCAATCAATTATAACATTAAATTCATAATTCAATTACATTAAACATTGTATATCATTTAATTATTTTTATTATGTATTAGTTTTTATCAAATTTATAAAATTTTAATTAATTTCATTAAATATGTTCTTGTAGAAATATATAACTACGGTAATTTCTCTAAAATTGAGAAAAAGATTAAAAAAAAAAATTCAATTACATTAAACATTGTATATCATTTAATTATTTTTATTATGTATTAGTTTTTATTAAATTTATAAAATTTTAATTAATTTCATTAAATATGTTCTTGTAGAATTATATAACTACGGTAATTTCGCTAAAAATGAGAAAAAGAAAAAAAAAAACACATTTTAAATGAATCATTGATAAAAGAATCCTTAACTGGAATAGGTAAAGCTGTCCGAATTCTTGGAAGTAATATAATTGCATTATTTTGATAGTCCGTACGTCCGGATATGATGAACTAGTCTATCAAATGTCTAAAATTAATAAATAAAAAAAAATTACTAAGAACAATCAGTATCAAAATGTATTTCGCTAAAAATGATAAAAATATATTTAAACGTTTTAAATTAATCTTTGGTAAAAGAATCCTTAACTTAACTGAAATAGTTAAAGCTGTCTGAATTCCGGGATATAATATAATTGCATTATTATGATACGGTACTCCGTATAAGTTGAAATTCGATCAAAAAGAACAAAATATCAAAACGATGTTTGTATAGATAGAACAAGTGATATATTAATATTAGTTATGTTAGGTCTACTAAAGGCCTGTCATTTTATATATTAGACATATTAATTAATGTAATACTGTAATAGGCTAATGATAATAATATAAATGATGGTGATGATGAGGATGATGCTGGAAATAATAATAATAATAATAATAATAATAATAATAATAATAATAATAATAATAATAATAATAATAATAATAATAATAATAACAATAATAATAATAATCTCTTAAATGCCATAATAACCTATGCCCCAAATCAAACAATCAATTAAGAATAATGTAAAGTGGTTTTTAATTTTGGTATTAGGCAACCAATCGAAATAACTTATATAGCGCAAAATTCCATCTTGCACACTTTGATTTTCTTCTTAAAAATGATACAGGCAAAAAGTTGATTTTATGTGTAGAAGTGGGTTCAATCAGCAGCGAGAAGTATCTGCCATGTGTGGTTTAGTTGGAATTATCAATGGTGTTAAAAAGCATTCAAGAAGGCTGGCTCGTTGCAAGCAAGTGGGCATGCATAGGCCCCACTAAACAAATTATGTCGTCCATGATTGTAAGGCTAAAGCGACTATTTTTCATACTTAAAATCTCAAACAATGCCGATACCATAAGGATAAGATGAAATTTAATTTAATTCCTTGAAGAACCGAGAATCTATTATTTCATAGATGAACCACCGACGTGCCTAGACAAAGAGGGAATATTTTGAGATTCTTTTCCAAATCCAGGTCACAGTATCGCCCTTGATCCCCGGTAAATTGCAATGGCGGTCATAGACGAATAAAGGTCAGATGTTATTAATATAGTTTTATTAGTATCGATTTCGAACTTTTATAAATTCAAATTATGTGTATTTTTTCAAAATATAGCTTTAAATACTAGGTAATGCGTGTAAATTATTGCTATGTGATAGAATTATATCGCATGAGTTGTAACGTATGGGAGAAATCAGTCCACATTTAGCTCAACAGACCTATTGTAAATTATAAAAAAAAAATTAAGTGGATGGTAAAGAAATAGAAAATCATTAATTAATATTTATTAAGAAGGATGGACGGTAAGTTTGTCAATTATCAAAAGGCTAGGGGTGAAGCGCCTAGGGGAGAATGGCAGTGTTGAACGTTGCGTTGAGTGATTATATACCCAGCATTCCATATATCCAATTCACGTTCTAAAGCGCCGTCCAATCAAATTGCCCGTCATCCAAACACTGTTCTACCGTCTGCGAGAATGAAAGAAAACTCAGTACTTCAACAGGTAAACTTGCGCTAGAAAGTCGATTTTGAGTGTCTAAATATTACCAAAATTGACTTCATGCTCGGCAGAAACGAATGGTGCCAATTTCGGAAACATGAAACTCAAGAATGTTGTTATAAATTTACTGTTCTTCCTCACTCTTCCTCTGAGTGCGACTGGACTATGGTGGTAAGTTTTACTTATTGCTATTGTACATATTTATCACGGTGACAATGTAAATGTATTTATAACTTTCATATAATTCGCTTTGTATAAGACAGGGTCAAGTGATGAGCAATTTATCTCAATAAGTTTGTTTTAATGTATATCTTTACAATTTCCATTTGGCACACAGTGTCTCATTTTTGTGAAAATGCTCAACATAGGAGAGGCGAAAGGGGCTTAGTATGTGTATACTCAAGTCTCGTTTATCTATTTGGAAAATACTTACATGTTAATGCTTATCCGTTCTAAAATTCAAAACAGTTATAGGCCTGATATAAAGCTCACACCGCAACATTTCGATTCCCAGTTTCGGAGGTGGGTAGGCACAGGCCCATATTTAGGCCTACACATTCTTAGCCCTGAAAATTCTTATTTCTATGATAATATCACATCAGTTTAAAATCAATAAAGACATAAGGGTAACCAACGAGTCACAAAGGTTACTGCAATGAGGTGGTTCCTTGCCCACACACAGCCCGCCGTACAGTTAACACGACCGATTCTCACCCTGGGTCATGATTACGACCATAATTTAAAAGCATTAAAAATACAGTAGGCCTATTTTTTGTTGATTTACAAATTCGTTAATATATTTTCATAAATCCTCATCAGTCCCGTCAGGCCCCCCTTTTTTTGTATTAAAGGCAAAGAAGCTCAAAAAATACACTGAAATTCACATTAATGTAGGGATCTCCATGAATGTGTACCTCCAACCAATAATATTATTTCCAATCGTAATACAGTTTAATATTAATGACGTCATTTAGTGCTGAAACTACCGTACCCGGTATATGTTACATGATCAACTACTGTATATTCATTCGGTTAAATATTTAAGTGTACTAAAGTAATACAAAAGCAATACATGTATGATATGGGAAAAATAATACAGTACCCATTCTCATTGTTTATATTTGCCTAGGGCTGTAGGTAGTCCACTAACGTTCGACCAAAACAGAATATGCCGAAAAGCCAGGCGTCTTGCGGGAAAACAACAGGATCTTTGTAAAAAAGAACCAGAAATAATAGAAATTGCTCTGCTGGGTTCTCGGACACAAGGCCTCAGAGAATGTCGATATCAAATGAAGCTGAGGAAGTGGAACTGCACCAGTATGTCACTTGGTAAAGTTCTATTGCAAGGTAATTTTTTGTATTTTTAACGTAGAATTTGTAAAATCATTAATTTATCTGAATTTTAGATAATCGTGTATGAGACATGATAGGAAAATCATTGCTGGAATATATTAGCCTATATTGCGAATAACGTAAACAATTGCAGCATACAATAAGTTTAATTGACCTAGACCTATATATAGAAGACTTTAACATGAATTTTAAATCCATGGGTACAATTGAGTGCCCTGAGCTATTAAGTTTGAATTACCCTAATGACATCCTGTTTTAAACATACGATTCGTGAGGTCCTACCAAGAACTTACCAATTGACAGTAAATCAAAATATTATGGACTTGGTGACAGAATGACAGTAACGATCGGGGAATTAATAGCACAGCCAACGAGGTAGTATATAAGCATAGCACAATTGCTGGAATATATCGTTTCTCACATTTTGATAATGAAATTGATATGCCTAATTGGAGGAAAATTATCATCTGTTATTGAATATCCGAGGTATATAACTTCTACTAAATAACACTATATTTGTTCACTTATTGGGTTCATGTCAGAAAGTTGGGTTCATGTCAGAAAGTTGGTACTTTTGTATGGCAATATCGACATTGGTAAGAACAACATTTTGAAGTAAGTATGCAGCTAGCCTATTCCCACGTCTGAAACATAAATCAGTCGTAAAACGAAACCTCAATCGGAAAGGTAGAGACATTGCGATCAGTCATTCGTTCTGTAAGAGGTATTAGTTGAAAAGTTTTCCAGGTGTCAAGGGAAATACGTAGGTAGAAACTTTTCACCAGGTGTTAACAACGATGCCAAAAACCGCCGAAAACTTGAATGACCACTTCACCTGGGGAGATGGCGGCTCTCATTCCGCGTAAGTTCTCTTTAATGAACAGGAGAACTATTTATCTCATTTGTGACTAAAATTTACAAGATAGAAAGTGTAAGCTTGCGACAAATTTGTGACTAAATATATCGTGTCCTTTGAATAGTTGTAGAGAAGGTGATATTGTGTTGTGATAGCTGCATACAACAAATGGAGGCATTTGTAATGTTTCTACTAGGCCTAGATGTCTATCTTTTTGTATTGTCTAAGGTTACAGTTACAGCAAGATTGTTGCTTTTCTTTACCTCCAGCTTGCCAAAGTCTGCAAGATGAAATATAATATGAAAATAAAATTTAAAATTCTAAATTAGAATAGACACTTTGTGACGCTCAATCGATTGAAAAATACCATCGCATAAGTTGCAGACCAGCGGGATATTAGCAAAGTTACTCTGCCCTTTATACTTAAGGTATCTTCTGACAAAACGCGCCAAGGGTAACTATTCCCAACCGTGCTGTTGGTTTTCGGTGATTTGGTTTTTAAATAGCCGATTTCATCTGATTCCATGGCGAAAAATAGGGCCTGCATTTGAATTCTCTCTCTCTTGGGGCAGAAACTCAGTAGATTTAATAAATGTTTGCTATCAATTTCTGGTCAAAGTGGTAGCAAAGGTTATCGTATGACATAAAAAAGGTACATGGTGTACGACCTTGTCCCGTATGAGTGCTTTTCTAGAAATGTTATCGGCAGACTGCAGAATGTCTGAAAAATGTCTCTCTGGAATAAAAACGTTAATTTACATGAAAACATGAGAGAGAAGGTTTTTAAAGCATTCCGTAAGATGCAAACAAACCTAAAGACGTATGTTACTGATATTGCATTCGGACATGTATTTCCGGTATTCTCGTGTGTTTTACAATGTTTACATAAACAATAAATGTCTCGCACCTAATTCAGATACATGAACTGAGTGATAAGTCCATGAGGAAAGACCTTGTGGGCTATTAGCAAACGAGGGTGACGGCAATTAAGGATCGATGAAATAATTCGTTTGCAGGTGCAATGTATACGACTTCCACGATGATAGAAACAACCAATTTTGTCCTACGGAAAACTAAACCAGCGGAAACGTTGTTGGTACGAAGCATTACAATCTTCGTTTTCAGGGAGTCATATTTTAAGTCCTTTATTAAAATCAACTTGTCAACTTTTTCTTAGTTTAACTGTTTATAAAAATAATTCTGAGACTTTACGAAAATGACACAATACACTAATAAATTTCAAAATATCCAGAAATTAAAAACTCAATTAATACTTATTAAAGTTCTTGTTCCCCAAGCAAAATATAATTATTTCACTATAGGCCTATACCTAA